TCACTTAACAGTCAGCCACCGTAGAGTCTACATCACCTGAGGATGCCTCGTGTAGAGGCGAAACTCGTGTCGTATTGTCGTCAATGGTGTGTCTTTCCTAGTGTAGTGGTGTTGGGAGTAGTGGTGCTAGGATTAGTGGTGACGGGGATAGTGCACCCAATTGAGGGAGGGCGGGAGGTGCTCTTCATACTAGATAAGACACATCATTTTATTTAATAGAGCGGATGTTTGCGAAGTAACTTTTTAAAACCTTTTAAGTATAACTTCGCCTCCAGGTCCTTCAAAAGAGTTATTGCTAAGGCAAAGTCAGAGCACATAGGCAGAATTGGCGAGAAACTAGTTCGCCTTCCTTCGGGAACCCATGCATTTTGGTCTCTCGCCAAGGCTGTCCAAGGGAATTTCTGTAAGCCGTCACTACTATCTCTACACAGGGAGGACGACTCACTGGCCCACGCCGCAAATTCAGATCTGGTACAAAGCATTCCGATCAGGTCTGGTACAAAGCACTTCTTTCGAAGCTTCCTTACTATGGGCTTCTTGAGAAATTGTGCAATTAGATCACCAGTTTTCTGGCTGATCGGAGCATCAAGGTCGTAGTACGTGCTCCAATTACAAACATATTAATGCTGGTGTTCTACAGGCTGCGTGCTATCACCAACGCTGTTTCTTTTGCATATCAATTATATGTTGCAAGCCGGTAACATACCTTTCTATGGCTATGGAGCACTGGTGATGCTCTATACACCGACCGTGCCAGTATTTCTCGGGAAAATGTCGACGAGTACCGGAATAAACTTGTGTCTGAATTCGAGACTTTGTTGAACAAAGTCTCGGATTGGGGGCAACTAAATCTAGTCCAGTTCAATCCCCAGAAAACACAAGTTTGCGCGTTTACCGCTAAAAGGAACCCCTTTGTCGTATCTCCTCAGTTTCAAGGCGCTCCCCTTGCTGCCTCAGTCAGTATCGGAATCCTCGGCGTCGACATATCGAGTGAGGTGCACTTTCGTGGTCACTTGGAAGAGAAGGCGAAATTGGTCTCTAAAAAGCTTGACGTGCTCAGCCGAGCGGGACAGTATTTCTTGCCGGCATACCGCCTGCAACTTTACAAGGTGCAGGTTCGGCCTCACATGGAATACTGTTCCCATCTCTGGGCAGGGGCTCCCCAGTGCCAGCTCCTTCTACTTGACCGCATCCAGCGCAGAGCGTTTCGAATCGTCGATGACCGAGTTCTTTCCGATCGGCATGTCTCCCTGGCACTGGGTAGAAGTGTTGCATCTCGTTGCGTATTTTATCGCATGTATCAGGGGGAGTGCTCTGAGGAATTGTTCAGACTAATTCCAGCCGCTCAATTTCACCATCGCACATCGCGACAAAACTGACGATACCATCCATACCATCTGGATTGGAATTTTCTTTACCACGGGGAGTACTCTGAGGAATTGTTCGGATTAATCCCAGCCGCCAAATTTCACGAACGCACATCGCATTAGAACCCCCATACCTCATCTGGATGATTGGCGGTCCACCACTGTGCGATTTAGAAGATGTTTTCTTCCTCGCACAACTTCCTTGTGGAATCGATTACCACCAGCGGTTTTTCCGGACCGATACGATTTAACTTTCAAGAAAATAGCCTACTCCTTTTTAAAAGGCTGGCAACGCATCTGCAATTCCCCTGGTTCCCCTGGTGTTGCAGTTGTTCATGGGCGGCGGTAGTCACTTACCATCAGGTGAGCTGCATGCTCATTTGCCCCCTCTCCTATAAAAAAAATATATTCAAAAAAGATTCAATATACAGAAATCGCCTTCTTAATGTTTAATTATAGTATAAAGTCCTACCACCTTCCTAAGTGCGTAGGTACACTGCTGTGTTCCATATCCATATCTGAAGTATAAAGAGAACCAGCATTATTATAGGCTGTAAGTGAATCAGTCCAGTTGTCCCTACAGCTGACAACACATCTGTAGTCTTCGTCATTATAAGTTGGTGGCAGATGTTCATGGACCAGTGTAGCCACTTAACACTAAGTGATCTGAGTTTATCACTATCTTATAAAGAAAGTTTGTTCAAACAAAAGTACGTTCGCCTGGTAGTTGGTAGGGAATGTTTATTTCTCTGTTGCTCTAGGAATCACAAAAAGTAGGCGACATATAGCCGACCTCCGAAATAAATTACGATCCAAACTGATCTTCCACTTTCATCATCATTATTATAGCCTTTTACAAGTCCACTGCTGAACATAGGCCATCCATCAAGGAACGGCACAACCTTTTTTCCCAATCGGTTGTCGGTTCTATCAGCTATATGGCAGGTCCATTGCCACTTCAGTTTACTGATCCATTGACCTATGTCGGTTACTCTGGATGGTCTGCAGATACCCTCATTTCTAAGACTACATCACGCAGAGAAACTCGGAGGACAGGCCTTTCATTAGCTCGCTGAGTGACTTTGACTCTCCTCATACGACCAACAGTGAAGACCCACGTCTTAGATCCATCCGTCTCGGTCATCACTGGCAACACGCACTAGTTGTACGATCTTGTTTTCAAGTTTTATGGTAGGTACCTTACATATAAACCTCCCACTCTCCTTTTTTCATAATTATTAAAAGTATTTTGGTCTTTTATTGTTCGTGATACGCGAACCGAACGCTACTACTGGTGGCGAGGCATTCTTTGTTAGTGGTCAGGGGAAAGTACGGGTGAAGACACGGGTGCTTATGGGCCACAGTTCACTTCAACTGGAATGTGAGCTAGTTTGTCATTCTTACTTAAATAAAAAATAGTACAGTGTGACGTCGTTTTTTTTTGTGTAAATAGTAATTAAGAACCTGTAACGACGTCATCTGTAATCTAACATACGACATCAACCATCATCATTACAGCCTATAACAAACTCGTCCCCCGTAAATTGCCTCATAGGAAGGATATTTGGCATAGTTGACACGCTTGGCAGGTGAGTTGTCAACCGTAGCTTTTTTATTGTTTCGAATAAACAGAAAAGTGCTGCTGGCCATCTCCTGTTGTAGTTTCCCTCTGTCAACGCTTATAACATCCACGAGACGATATGGGGTTATAGATTCTTACCTCGCCACTCTACGGTGACCCGCCTATACTATTACTGATGTATAAAATTTATTCTTTATAAAGAATAAGGGTAACAAACGAGCACACAATCCACCTGATGGTAAGTGGCTACTGTGACTCATAGACATCTACATCTATCCACAATTAAGAATCAAAATGCAGGTGTGTGTTGTCATCCCTGAATACTAAGATGGAATGCCTCGTTTCCAGAAAAATAGGTCTCCGGTTCTCTACGCTCACCATACAAAACATAGCGGCATTAAGCTGTTATTTCACGCTGGTATTCACACAATTTCATGTAAGCATAAGTTTTGTGGGTTAAAGTAAAACAAGTTATCTAATAATAAATCAAATTTATTTCATTTTCCATTTTTTTCTTGGTGATAATATTTTTATACCCCAAATAAATAAGTAAATCTTTCCTTTATAAACTTTTTCACAACAGTTCCATTATTACAAAACATTATAAGAATTTATTGCCTTAATTTTATTGCATACAGTAATACAATAAATAACATTGTTAATAACACTTTTTGTGTCAATAAAAATTATTCTTCGACTAGGGTTTTAGATTAAGCCTACAAAATGCTGAAACACCATTGATATAATCTTGCATTTAAAATAATTGAAACTATATCTCGCGCTAACAATGGGATTATAAATAGCGTCGCCTCTATTCACCTCCCGCTTGCACGCTGTCTCTGTATATACCCAAACATCCCGGTAGCGATAACAAAAAAAAAGTTATTCACGTGTTGTAGTAAACGTTCTTTGCCTTTTATTGCTTTTAAATTTCGAACCAAGTAACAGAACTAAGCCGCTCAATATGCCTTTATTTTTAGTATTAAATTGTTTGTAAATTGATTTAATTCCCACATTTAATTCCCCTATTATAATATGTTAATAATTTCATTTAATTATAAAATTCAATTGGTTTAATATACTAAACAGTCAATTTAAAAAAAAACATAGTGTTTTAATTAACACGTTATCGTTGTTTGTAATATAACGTTATTAACGTTGTTTTCATTTTTGGTACCGTGTATGCTGACAGTACAAGTTCATTTAGCCGCCATATTTAATCCCATTCTTTATCCGCAGAAGTAGTATAATACTAAAGGTAATATATCCATTGGTATCTAGCATCGTTACTTCCTAAAATATCACTTGTGTATTATAAGCAACTTCTAGTAACAATTAGAATTATTTATATTATATATTAGCGCTGCAGCGCTAGAGCGCGGCCAGGTGCAGCGGCTCGTAGTGGTCGGCGGCGGGGCGGCGCACGGCCAGCTGCAGCGCTAGAGCGCGGCCAGGTGCAGCGGCTCGTAGTGGTCGGCGGCGGGGCGGCGCACGGCCAGCTGCAGCGCTAGAGCGCGGCCAGGTGCAGCGGCTCGTAGTGGTCGGCGGCGGGGCGGCGCACGGCCAGCTGCAGCGCTAGAGCGCGGCCAGGTGCAGCGGCTCGTAGTGGTCGGCGGCGGGGCGGCGCACGGCCAGCTGCAGCGCTAGAGCGCGGCCAGGTGCAGCGGCTCGTAGTGGTCGGCGGCGGGGCGGCGCACGGCCAGCTGCAGCGCTAGAGCGCGGCCAGGTGCAGCGGCTCGTAGTGGTCGGCGGCGGGGCGGCGCACGGCCAGCTGCAGCGCTAGAGCGCGGCCAGGTGCAGCGGCTCGTAGTGGTCGGCGGCGGGGCGGCGCACGGCCAGCTGCAGCGCTAGAGCGCGGCCAGGTGCAGCGGCTCGTAGTGGTCGGCGGCGGGGCGGCGCACGGCCAGCTGCAGCGCTAGAGCGCGGCCAGGTGCAGCGGCTCGTAGTGGTCGGCGGCGGGGCGGCGCACGGCCAGCTGCAGCGCTAGAGCGCGGCCAGGTGCAGCGGCTCGTAGTGGTCGGCGGCGGGGCGGCGCACGGCCAGCTGCAGCGCTAGAGCGCGGCCAGGTGCAGCGGCTCGTAGTGGTCGGCGGCGGGGCGGCGCACGGCCAGCTGCAGGCGTCCGGCGCGCGCACTGAGCAGCAGCGCGCAGCCGCGGCCCAGCGCGCCGCGCTCGGCGGCGAGCGCGATCTGGTTCACCACGCGCCGCTCCACCTCGTGCTTGATGGAGCGCGCGCCGTAGTGCACGTCGTAGCTGCGAAACGCCGCCGGTTATACTTATTTTACTTATTCACTAGCTGTGCAGCTGTGCTCGCGACTTCGCTCAAATCCATTAGCCATTGATTACAACCTATGTATGGGGTAGTAGATATTCTTGCACTGCCACTACACGGTCACTTTCGTTCGCATAAACAGACAAAACATTTAATTTTTTTGTTTTATTATATACTTTTACATACATTTAGTAGATTTGCCTAAGCCTTGGAAAGATCACAGTATTAAAAATAAAATAGCTTGTGTCAAATAGCCCGCGGCCTGAAATGCCCTGTATCATCAGATTAAGCTGTAAGAGCCGCATAGACTAACAGCGCAAACATCACCTAACTAGATAGTATTAAAAATAATAGCAAGTCCAATACAATAGCATCTATTATAAACGCCATCACTTTAAGGGAAATCCCCCACTTATCTGCAGTTTTCTTAATATTAATAGTTTTGAAATATTTTACAATATCTCCTAATAATATTTTATGAAATGCAAATTCTCTTGTACAGACGTTTACATTTTGTTAGAGCAATGACTCGGTGACAGTAGGGAAGATGGTAATCATTTCCACAAGGAAGTTGAGCGAGGAAGAAAACATCTTCTAAATCTCACAGTGATGGACCGCGAATTATCCAGATGGTATAGGGAGTTCTGCCGCGATGTGCTTTAGTGAAATTTGGTGGCTGGGATTAATCCGAACAATTCCTCAGAGCACTCCCCGTGGTAAATGCGAAATAAAATGCAAAGGGATGAAACATCTCTTCGCAGCGCCCATAAATCGAGCCGATCGGAAAGGACTCGGTCATCGACGATTCAAGCCGCCCTGCGCTGGATGCGGTCAAGTGGAAGGAGCTGGCACTGGGGAGCCCCAGCCCAGAGATGGGAACGGTATTCCATGTGAAGCCGAACCTGCGCCTTGTAAAGTTGCAGGAGTTGTGCCAGCATGAAATACTGTTCCGCTCTGCTGAGCACGCCAAGCTATTTAGAGGCCAACTTGGCCTTCTCTTCCAAGTGACCACGAAACTGAACGTCACTCGATATGTCGACGCCGAGGATTCCGATACTGGCTGAGGCAACAAGGGAGTGCCTTGAAACTGAAGAGATACGACAAAGGGGTTCTTTTTAGCGGTAAACGCGTAAACTTGTGTCTTCCGAGGATTAAACTGAACTAGATTTAGTCGCCCTCAATCCGAGACTTTGTTCAGCAAAGACTCGACTTCAGGCACAAGTTTGTTCCGGTATTCGGCGACGTTTTCCCGAGGAATATTGGCACGGCCGGTGTATAGAGCATCACCAGTGCTGTCATCCGCATAGCAATGAATGTTACCGAATTGCAACATATCATTAATATGCAGAAGAAACAGCGTTGGTGATAGCACGCAGCCTTGTGGAACACCAGCGTTAATAGGCTTGTAATCGGAACATGCACCATCTAAAACGACCTTGATGCTCAGATCTGCAAGAAAGCTGGTGATCCAATTGCACAATTTCTCGGGAAGCCCGTAGGAAGGGAGCTTCGAAAGAAGCGCTTTGTGCCAAACCCGATCGAAGGCCTTCGCAATGTCGAAACTAACGGCCAATGCCTCTCCCTTGGCCTCTACTGTCTCCGCACATCTATGAGTCAGGTAGACCAAAAGATCACCAGCTGATCGACCCCAACGAAAACCGTATTGGCGTTCACTAATCAGCTGGTGATCCTCAAGGTACCGCATGAGCTGGTAGTTTATAATAGATTCCATTATTTTGGAGAACAAGAATGTGATGGCGATAGGCCTGTAGTTGGACGGGTCTGAGTGGTCGCCTTTTTTAGGAATCGGGTGGACAAAAGCTGTCTTTCATGATTTTGGGATTACGCCTAGGGAATAGGAGTACCGGAAAAGACGCGTTAGAACCGGTGCCAACTCTGGAGCACACGTCCTCAACACAATGGGGGGATTCCGTCAGGCCCACTCGACTTGTGGGTGTCCAGGGAGAGGAGTGCTTTGCGAACCGAGCGCTGTGAGATCCACACATCCGGCATGGAGCACTCACACCGCGGGATAGTCGGCGGTGTGTTCCCCTCGTCATCAAGAGTCGAGTCGGACGCAAAAAGAGAACCTAAAAGGTCGGCTTTTTCTTTTGCGGCGTGGGCCAGTGAGTCTTCCTCCCTGTGCAGAGATGGTAGTGATGACTTACAGAAATTCCCTTGGACAGCCTTGGCAAGAGACCAGAATGCATGGGTTCCCGAAGGAACGAACTAGTTTCTCGCCAATTCTGTCTATGTGCTCTGACTTTGCCTTGGCCATAACTCTTTTGAAGGACCTGGAGGCAAAGTTATACTTTTTTTAAGCACGCTGGTGTTTACATCCCAAGCCGCTAAAGCCTCAGCCCAGGCCTGATAACACTCCTGCTTATTGCGTAATGCAGTCTTACAGGAGCGACCAAACCAAGACTGAGATCTGCCTCCGATGGGTACCACAGATGATGGAATAAATAGTTCCATTCCCTGTAGCACCACATCAGTGACAGAGCTGACTCGGTTGCTGACAACAGCGCTGGGATCATCCGGCGAGAATCAAACCCGCCCCCATGGATAGGATGCAAAAGACAGACCGCATTCCGTCCCAATCCGCTGACCTGTGATGTCAAACACGGCGCCAAGCTGCAGAACGCAACCGCGAGGGGAGCGTCAGTGGCACCACACTCCGGATCAGACAATGGTCCGAAGAGCCGAGAGGGGCATCGACGGAAACCTGATATCCGTCCGGATGAGAGGTCAGCAGAAAGTTCAACAGGGAAGGTGTATGATCCTCCACATCTGGAATCCGCGTAGACGAAGTAACCAGTTGTGTCAAACCATATGCCAAGGCAAAGTCATAAACAGATCTCCCCGCATGATCGGTTAAACGTGAACCAAACCATTCGGCGTGGTGGGCATTGAAATCGCCAAGGATCACGATCTCTGTGAATGGGACCTGTTGTAGCAAGGAATCTGTTCTTTTTAGCGGTCTGGACGTGGTCGATGAGTCGGTCTGTATTGGCATTACCGCTAACTATAGAGGCACCCGTAGACGCGGGGTTGGCCGTCGCTGTCTACGCGTAGCCAAAGGATGGACAGGTCGGAACCTTCAAGACTGCCGAGGCGTCGAGAACAGATGTCCTCTCTGACGTATACGCAAACTCCAGCCCGAGGCAATACACAACACAAAGGAGTGTTCCAATTTGTACCCCGGGTCGAAGAGATACGAAGTATCAGCCAGAGAGGACACTTGCGTCTCGGTCAGAAAGAGCAAGGCCGGCTTCGCCGTCTCGAGATAGTAGTGGACGGCGTTTAGGTTCGAGTGAAGTCTCCTGATGTTGCAGAAATTCAGAGATAGCGTGGCAGGGGTCGCCTTTGTCTTGTTGCTCAATTATTTTGAGCGGAATTCCCCCCCCCCCCCTCCCCCAATACGCGGAACAACCTGGGCATCCACGCTCAGGAGTGGTCTTGCCAGATTCGCGACGTATGGATGATAATAACCCCTGGGGAATGAGGTGATTGCTACCAATCTATTTCTAATTGAGTTTGTGTTAATTATTGTATATCTTTAATGATTATAAAATGTTATTTCTTTTACAGTCCCGCTGGATTTCTTGCTGGTTTTTCACAGTCTAAGTTAAACTTAAGGTTGATACTCAATAAGTACTGTTTATAATCTATACTGAACAAAAGTTTATATTCAATTCTGTTCCATTCATAGGGTGTTTGAATGTCGATTAAGTTTTGGATTGGTCGTATCGCAAGATGGTGTTATTGATACTACTCGTAACTACATGTATAAATAAGGTTTGGTTTTTCTTTGAAAGATGGCTGTTCGCGCCTAACGCTAGTTTAAAGATTTGACGCCAGAGGGCGCTCGGCGCGGTGCATTCGTACCGGTTTGACGTTCGGGCGAGCGGAGTTGGTTTGGCGTGTGGCGCTGCGGAAGTCGAACAAGGCAGTTCGGTCGCTAGCACGGCGTGGTCGTCCGGTATAACCTCTATTTAGTGTCGGTTTTGTTAGCAAATTTATGCAACGACGAGGATTTTGTTGAGTCTAGAAAAATAGACGCCGGGTCGATTAATTATTTGGAATTTAATATTGAATATTGATTCTGAGCCGCGTCTACGTGCTGTTTTCGAGAGTCATTACGAATCGTCTCGCGCGCAGACTTGACGACTTCCAGCCTCCCGAACAAGCCGGTTTCCGAAAGGGCTTTAGCACCATAGACCACATACATACCCTTCGGCAAATTGTACAGAAGTCCGAGGAGTACAATTTGCCACTATGTCTGGCGTATGTGGACTATGAGAAAGCCTTTGATTCCGTCGAAATTTGGGCGGTGCTGCAGTCCCTTCAGCGGTGCCAAGTTGACTGTCGGTATATCGAAGTGTTGAAGTGCTTGTACAGTAGGGCTACGATGGCTATCCGAGTACAGAACCAGAGTACGAAACCTATCCAATTGCAGAGAGGTGTAAGACAGGGTGACGTCATATCCCCGAAACTCTTCACCGCTGCATTGGAAGACGTTTTCAAGCTTCTGGACTGGAAAGGATACGGTATCAACATCAATGGCGAGTACATCACTCACCTTCGATTTGCCGACGATATAGTCCTTATGGCAGAATCGCTGGAGGACCTAAGCACTATGCTCAATGACCTCAATAGTGTTTCCCAACGGATAGGTCTTAAGATGAACATGGACAAAACTAAGATCATGTTTAATGTCCATATCACGCCTATGTCGGTAGTTGTTGGGAACACTAAGCTCGAAGTTGTTGACGAGTATGTTTACCTGGGACAAATAGTCCGACTAGGTAAGTCCAACTTCGAACAAGAGGTCAATCGATGGATTCAACTCGGTTGGGCAGCGTTCGGGAAATTACGGCACATCTTCTCGTCAGGTATACCTCAAACCTTGAAAACGAGACTGTACACCCAGTGCGTGTTGCCAGTGATGACATACGGAACTGAGACGTGGTCCTTCACTGCTGGCCGGATGAGGAAGCTCAAGGTCGCTCAGCGAGCTATGGAGAGGGCTATGCTCGGAGTTTCTCTGCGTGATAAACTTAGGAATGAGGATATCCGCAGTAGAACCAGAGTAACCGATATAGCCCAACGGATTAGTAAGCTGAAGTGGCAATGGGCCGGCCATATAGCTCGAAGAACCGACAACTGATGGGGAAGAAAGGTTCTCGAGTGGCAGCCTCGTACCGGTAGGCGAAGTGTAGGGCGTCCCCCCACGAGATGGAGTGACGACCTGGTAAGACATGCAGGAAGTCGATGGATGCAGGTGGCTCAGGACCGTGCTTTGTGGCATTCTTTGGGGGAGGCCTGTGTTCAGCAGTGGACTTGTGAAGGGCTGTAATGATGAATGATGATGAATATTGATTGCGACCAACGTCCGGTTTTTTGATGCGTGTGGAATTTACTATTGGAGTTTTCGCTTGTAGTTTGGTTATCTTAGTGCGTTCACGCGATGACGAAGCAGTAATAATTTGATTGATTAACCTAAATTCGTTGGCAAGTAATTTACGTAAATGGTATAGTGATTGCCGGTAGTTGATTTGTGGCATTGGATGTAACTCGGAGATCTTTTCCCGTGTCGGTTAAAACGCTAAAATTTGTGACCCGCGAGAAACAGTGTTCGTATTAGATTATAGATTTGTGCTAAGGAACTCTGAACGTTGTGACTCGAGAAGGGATCGCGTTTTTGCTCTTGGTTATAATCTTGTTGCCACGTGAAACGGAAGTGACCTTTGACCCACCGTTCATTAGTCGTGCCGTGTGTTACGTTTTTGATTACGATTAACGGGGGTTTAGTTGAGTTTTAAGTAGATTAAATGTACAATAAAGTTGATGGATTGAAATAGTGTACAATAAAGTTGATAAACTGAAATACTGAACTGACGTCGGACTTGAGGTCGGATGGGGTGAGCTGCCCCATTTGGACAGAAGCAACGCTGGATCTAACGGTTGGGTCTGGCCGTTTGGCCATGTTTATTATACACACTACTATACACCACTCACACGCACCTACACCTACCTACGGCCTGACCGAGCCTTGGGGAGGCCTTAGCTTCGTAACCAGGTACGTACTATTTATTTACCTAGCCTTATCTCTTTTGTGTAGGTCAACTGTCTATAGGCCGTTGGGTCCCGTCCCCTGCTGCTCGTCGAATCTACAGCTGTATGGGCCCCTGTAAGGTCGACTTTTGTTGGGGCAGCTAGGGGCGTGTACAATGGCGATGTAGAAATGAATTTGTTTATTTGAATCGCGTTGTTGAAAATCGTGCCTCAAATCGTTGCGCATTGTAAAATTGTTGTTCATTTACTATGTGCTCGGCGGCAAAGGAAAACATCATGAGGAAATATGCATGTCTGAGGAGTAAAATATTTTGCGAACATGTGAGTTCGTGATCAAAACCTGAAGTATCGCCGCGAACTTATTACTCGGGATTAGAACATCGGAACCGGTCTTTCCCGGTTCCAAAAGAACCGGGTATTCCCGGGTTTCAGGGGTCACGAAAAGAACCGGTTCCGAAAATTTAAAACCTGGTTCTTTCGATTCCTTCGGTTCCTTTACAAAATTTCTTAAAAAGTATATCACTGCAATGTAGTGGTATAAAAAACGTGATTATTAATCATTTCTGCTATTTATGGCAAACAGTAGGATTTGTAATGGTATTTAATTTGGTAAAAATTTGCAAGGGTTCCACCACTAAAATTAACGAAATTCTTCAAAAGCATATCGTAGCTGATTTCAGACAAGAATATTGTTTGGTTTTAGATGTAAGGACACGCTGGAGCAGCATAGCCACGATGTTTTCTGAAGTTAAAAACGATCAGAAAAGCATTAATTGATTTAAAGTCTGATATTGTAGGTATTTACTGAGGAAGACTGGACAAACATAGAAGAGTTAAATAATATATTGGATGTTTTTAAAACTATCGTAGAAGCTCTATCCCGTCGCGATGCAACATTGATTACAGCCGATGTTTCTTTAAAATTTGCTATAAGAAAATTAATTGAAATGAATACTCATCTTAGTAATAAAATGTTCACTGCATTGCGAAAACAATATAAAAAACATGCAAGCATCAATACTGGGATACTTAACCAACCTTGACAGTTATTTTGCCAGTATGGACGAAGATGCAATGATCTTTTCCCGGCCTACAAATGATGAAAGGTTACACGAAATTGAAAATTTTTACGTGGTAGAGCCATGCTGCAGCTATATTACTGGTATAGTTGTAGCACGAATGGGTCGGCACGACCGGGGAAGAACCACGCTTTCAAAGAATACGCTGCTGTGTATGGTGAGTGTAGAGAACCGGATACCCTTTTTACTGGAAACGAGGCATTCAATCTTAGTCCTCACGGGTGAAAACGCATCAGCATTTTGATTCGTCATCGAGGATAGATGTAGAAGTCTATGTGCCACAGCAACCCCTTACCATCAGTTGGACTGTGTGCTCGTTTGTCATCCATATCCTATAAAAAAATTCGCACAAAAGCTAGACAAAAAGTATCCCTTGAAGAAACGCCAGCAATTGGCAGTCAAAATCTGCAGGAAGTTGAATTACATGAATCCCCCTTTGTTAGGGGGGATTCATGAAGAGGAATATAATAGAGAGCTGTCTAAAGCTGTTAATACTGCTACTAAATCGACAGATCAAGAAAATTACTTAATTGTTACTGTCAGAGTTGAAATGGCTCTATTTGAAAATGGTGGGCAAAGACAACGAGTGCCACTTATCGATAGCTTATGAACATTTAAAAACTATTTCGCCCACCAGTGTAGAGCCAGAGCGAATATTTTCTTCGTCTGCAATAGGCTGCGCTCGTTTTTGAGTGATAAAAATTTGCATGCATTAATTTTTCTGCGTTTTTTTATTTAAGTAAAATTAAGAAGTAATGTTTAATTAAAACTTTTTTTTTCATAAGTGAGTTCCTTTATGTTTTGTTATAACAACAGTACCTGTAAAGTATATTCTATGATAGAATATTGTAGTGTTATAATAGAATAGAATCTTTCTAAATTATTTTTATGTTGAACGATATTAAAATTTAAGTAATGTGAAATAACTGTTAACATGCAATTGTAAAATGAATGTTCCTAGTTAGTGAGATGTTTGATTGTATTTAATTAGAAAGAAACTATTGCAATTATTACTTGAATAATTACTTTAACTCACGATTTGCAATAAACTGTTTTCTTTACGAATATTATTATCGTTATTCACATTGAACGAAATAGCCTCCAACCTAAAAGAACCGAAAGAACCGGGTACCCGGTTCCGGTAAAAGTTTAGAACCGAAATACCGGTTCTTGGAAAGGGACCGGTTCTCGATGCCCTGCTCGGGATGTATTTTAGCTGAAAATTTACTTTCTTATTAATAGAATCGTTACTTTGCGGAAATTCATTATATTAAAGATGTTCAAAATGAATTAGCTAAGATAAGAGTAATAAAATTATGTGTCTTACCTAGTAATAAGAGCACTTCCCTCTATTGTGTGCACTATACCCTCGTCACCACTACTCTCAACACTACTACACTAAGAACGACTCCTTCGGTAATACGACAGGTGTTTGGCCTATAAACGAGGCATCCTCAGGTGAAATAGAGTCATGCTGAACCGCTAAGATTTATTATAGTGGTGTTGGGAGTAATGATGTTGGGATTAGTAATGTAGCCGTAGGAAGGAAAAGGGGAGATCTCCCGCCAGGCAAGGTGTTCTGCCCGGGGAGCGGCCAACGCTCCGAGTGGTAGTTCGGAGCTATTCTATATATACTGCTTTAACTTCGGAACTTTGTTAGCGCGATTTAGGCTTCGATGTGTTTCGCTTGTGGAGCGACGACAGCGCCGCCACAGTAATGCACGCAATTGAGGGAGGGTGGGGGGTACTCTTCAAACTAGGTAAGACACGAAATTTTATTTTATCATGCAGATCTTAGCTACTTAATTTTAAAAACTAAAATATCAATTTACTGTAAACATATTATAGAAATATTAGTGTTACCCATCAGCCAGTGCTCCAAGCACGCCACCTTCCCAGTGCAGATCCACGTCATGTCTACTCTTAGCTTTCTCTGCCCAGTGTTGTAGCTCCATGTTCACTAAAGTCAACAACTCTTGACGTGAGAATGGAAGGAAGTAGACAATCTCATTGATTCGGCCCAAGAACTCATCGCGTCCGAAATGCCTCTTCAAAATAGGCCTCACGACACTATCCTTGAAATGCCTCGAAACTTCTAAGGTTTCTTCGGGATCTTCATTATCTGCAACTTCGTTAGGTGGACTAGGCGGGTTGTTCTCATCTTTTTCTGAAATAATATGTTTTTATTAAATAATTGATTTAACAATCCCAATGGTTAAAACAGAAATAATAAAGCCGACTGCGTAAAAAAATTATTGAAAAGAGAAAAAAATCCATCCTCTTCCTTTTTCGTATTTACATATGGAATATATAAATTTTATATAGCCTCTTCAACACCTCATATGTTAAAATCCATCATACCGTTTAGGCTAAAGAGCGTGCCAAAGGAATAGACATATATACATACTCTCGAAAAACATTACCCCCCCCCCCCTTCTAACGCAGTCGGGTCTTTCAAAAGTTATACATTTGTCGCATTTGAGGACCTTTAGAAACATCCGTGACTTGAGGTCGATTACGTTGAGCCGCTCGGAGCTCAGCCTCGCGACGCAGCTTCAGACCGTACTGTGCAATTTCGTCCGATGCAAGATTCGACGTCATCACAAATATTGCATTTTTGCATTCGATCAGTTTTCCCTTGCCATCTGTTAATCTTCCCTGTGACAAAAGTTTGATTTAAATAAAGCTTTAACTGAGAGTATATAACTGGTAATAGAATCAGGCTTACATACTTAATACAACCAAACGTAACTTTGCGGAAATCCGTTATATTAAAGATGCCAAAAAGGTAATTAGCAAAGATCGGCGTAATAAAATAAAATGATGTATCTTACCCAGTTTGAAATGCACCACCTGCCTTCCCTCAATTGTGTGCACTATCCCTGTCACAACCAATAATACGACACGTGTTTCGCCTCTAAACGAGGCAAACAGGCAACGCTCGAATAGAGGCGAAACGTGGATCGAATAATCGACGGTGGTGTGTCTTTCCTAGTGTATTCGGATTGAAGGAGGGCGGAAGATATACTTAGTAAGTAAGACATCAATGTGGTGTATTACGCGGATCTAAATTAATTAATTTTTAACATATTTAACTTAATTATTATTGCGATGGTAAACAATGATATTTTTTCAAAATCCACAAGGAAATATATTTATTTTGCCAAGATCTTCATGCAATTTTTCATCCTATGCAATGTTGATTTCTCATATAACATCAGATCAAAAATTTGATTGAAAATAAAAATAGGTAAGTACCTCGTCAAATAACTGTAATAGGACTGTGAGGACATCCGGATGAGCTTTATCGACCTCGTCAAATAGGACCACAGCATCTGCTCTGCGGGCGAGCGCCCGTGTCAATTGTCCGCCCTCCTCATGTCCCACATAACCGGGCGGAGCACCGATCAGCTTCGCAACTTCGTGCTTCTCCTGATACTCGGACATATCCAGACGGATGAAGGCAGCCGGGTCATCTCGGTGCATATACCGGGCAAGTTGCTTCGCTAGCTCCGTCTTTCCGATGCCCGAGCTGCCGAGGAAGAGGAACACGAGGGGGTGTTCCTCGTCAGCCCAGCCGTTTTCCTTGCGACGTACCGCAGCGGCGACAGTTTCGATGGCGGCCTGCTGGCCAACGATGAATTGCTTTAAGCGCTGCTCGAGAGGAAAGCGGCGACGTTCCTCAGCCGCGGCTGCAGCGGCTGCATCTTCCCAGCGTCGCGTGTGTTGTAGGAGAATCTCGCGAGTGGGAGAAGGATCTCGCGCGTAATGTAGCGGACGTCGGCCAGCGTGATCGCGTGCAGTTGGATCGGCGCCGGCTTCTAAAAGCGCTGCAGCGCTTGTCGCCGAGTCGGCTAACGCGGCGTAGTGCAACGCCGTCCAGCCTAGGAATGAAGCGCGCGCGTTCATCGAGCTGCAGAACTCGTCTTCGCGGCGCTGCAGCGCTTCAAGCGGATGTAAGCCGGCATGGGAAGCGGCGGCCGTAGCTCCGGCGTAGCGGTCGCGTAGCTCCGGCCGGGCGCCTAACCGTAGCAGTTCTTGTACGGCTGGTGCTTGGCCGTTTGCCGCGGCTGCCATTAGTGCCGTCCATCCCAAGGGATGGCGTCGATCAACAGCGCTCTCGCCATCATTACGGCGATCTCCTGCCACCTCTATCTGCCTGTAAAAAAGTTCTCAATTTTAACAGTCAATAACATGTTATAAAATTATACCATGACTTGCTTTTTGTTGTATTATAAACAATCTTACTAATCTTAGTAATAAAAAAATACCAGTGTGAAATAGCAGCTTAATACTGCTGTGTTTCATATGGTGAGTGTAGAGAACTGCAGACCCTTTCTACTGGAAACGAGACAACTTAGAAGTAACAACTGACAACATATCTGCATTTTGATTTTTAATTGAGGATAGTTGTAGATGTCTATGGGCCACAAAATCCACTTACTATCCGGTGCACTGTGTGTTCATTTGTCACTCATATTATATAAAAGCAGGTATTGACTTATTTATACTACCTACTCAGCATGAAGCTACGGTTATTGCACAATTATTTATCGGTAAGACCTATGGTTTTTTCAAACTAGTTATTTATTCATTTTAAATTTTATTGCACATAAAGTGTACAATTGGTGGACTTATAATGCCTTTGGGCATTCTCTACCAATCAACCATTCACATTATTCAAGGTGTATCGGGTGTCCAGTAAGGGTACCGGGTATTTGACAGTTAAATAAAATCAGAAATACATTTAATTAAATATATCCTTTATTTTTAATTCAAAAACAGTTTCTTGGAAATTTATTTGGCGAATATAACATTATCTAAATGTGTACCCCCACGCAGCTGGTATTCATCTAACCTTGAACGCAGGTTGGCGACGACGCGTTAACAAAGCGAAGTTGGGATTGCCCTCATCTCTGACGTGATGTTCTCCTTCAATTGACTCAGATTCGATGGGTGGTTATCGTATACCTTACCCTTAAGGTATCCCCATAAAAATAGTCGAGAGGACTAAGATCTGGACTTCTGGGGGGCCAGTTAATGGTGCCCCTACGCAAGATAACTTTGTTTGGGAACAATTCCTTTACAGCTTCTATTGACGGCCCTGCGGTGTAGCATGTGGCTCCATCTTGCTGAAACCATGTTCTTAAATTAAACCCTGGGAAATCTTGTAATGCGGGCGCCAAAAAAGTCCTTAACATGTCACAATAACGGTCTGTATTCCCCGTAACTGCTCGCCCACGTCTGTCTTCATGGAAAAAGGGGGCAATTATGCCTCTAGCAGAAAAGGCGGCCCAAACGATGACCTTAGGACTATGAAGTAGCCGTTGATGTTTTGTTTTGGGGTTTTCCTTGGACCAGTAGCGATAATTCTGTTTATTAACGTGACCATTAAGAGGGAAATTGTCCTCGTTGCTAAACAGAACTGACTATACCAAAGCTGTTGAATCGCTCTAGCATTTCAGTAGCAAAATTTAACCGACTTTCATAATTGGAATTCTTCAGTTCTTGGACTAACTGGATTTTGTAGGCTGTGAGATGCAAGTCTTTTTTCAAAATTACCTGCAGTGAAGATGTTTTTATGTTTAGTTCTTGTCCTCGTTTGCGAATTGATAGTGACGGATTTTCACATTCTGAAACTCTCACTTCTTCGATTTTTTCTGCATCTCTAACGCTTCGGGGCGACCTGTATTTTGAATTTTAACAGTCGACTCGGTATTCTCAAACATTTTAATCCTCTTTCGTATGACATTGTCGCTTGGTGCTGTACGTATGCGATTTTCTCTGTGATATAAACACTGAGCAGTAACAACGGAATCGTTATTGCGATAATACGCTCGCACGCAAAAAGCGCGATGCGTTCCGGGATACGGCTCCATGGCAACTAAAATTCCACGAACTGACGCGCGCGACCTTGCCCTCCCCACGCCCCTGCTACTTCACTTGACACCGTGAACCAATAAACAAACTCCCACTACTCTTACTGGACACCCAGTATAATATCAAATGTAACCTTAATATTTGATATCATGGCACATTTTTTATATTGAATAGAGGAAATAACAAGAAGCTACTATTAATCAACAATTCACATACTTGCGGAGTTCCTGCACATTTCCAACCTGAGCTGCTTTGAAGAATCTTTTTTCTGTAAAGAAATTATAGAATAATAAAGATCTTTGCAATGAATAATATAAAAAAAACTACATAAAAACTATAATTTATAAGAGTAATTAAATGAATTATTATCAACTACAAATTCATTAGGTAAACAGTATGTTAGAGGACAAACTAAACAAAATGAAAAAGATTAGTATTTAGTACCAATTTTTAGAAGTTAATAAAAAATTTAAATGATATTTAAGATTTTATTGCTTAAATTTAATTGCTAATTTGCTTAAATTTGTTTTACATTCCCAGCGTTTCAATTTGGTTTGTCAATTTTGTCTGTTCACTAAGTTAGTGTCGGTACACCCACAGGTGCACTTCTTATTTTGCTTTAATTGTATTACTTTTTAGTGTGTTTGTTAAATAAATGTTTTTCTATTCTATTTTGCTCTTGTGTTTATTGTAATAAAATACAAATATAAATAATAAACACAAGTTAGGTAACAAAGAACCTTTCACTACAGTGCTTTGTTTTAAAATGCCAAATTCTCCTACGGGTGCACATTTAGTACGGCGACCTTTAACGTCACGGTGGGGCCTCTGACAAGATGGGGCATGTGCCAAGGCGACGCAACACAGAGGCGACCATATCTAAGACTATATAGCATATTATATTATGGTAATTTAACTACAAATAATATATTTGTAGCTGTATTATCATCAAGATCAGCTAATAAACAATCTACTAAACTGGGTTTCTCCTAAAGTTAAGACTATTGAATTTGATGAATTAGCATCATTCAGTATTTTTTTTTTATAGGATAAGGGTGACAAACGAGCACACAGTTCATGTGATGGTAAGTGGTTGCTGTGGCCCATAGACATCTACATTTATCCTCTATTACGAATCAAAATGCAGATGCGTTTGTCACCCGTGAGGAGTAAGATGCAATGCCTCATTTCCAGTAAAAAGGGCCTCCGGTTCTCTACACTCACCATACAAAACACAGCTGCATCAAGCTGCTATTTTATGCTGGTATTCTGTGAGAGCGTGGGCCTTTCCCAGTCGAGCCAACCCATTCGTGCTACAACTATACCAGAAATATAGCTGCAGCATGGCATCTACCATGTATATGTAGGTAACACATCGAATCAAATCCTGTTCGTATCATTGTGCCTTATAGTGGTAGTGTATACATAGACTTCAAATACCCCCCCCCCTCCCATGGGGAAATCTATAGGGAAGGCTTATGTTCAGCTAAAGAATTGTGGTGAGCTTTAATAATAAGATGTATTTTGATGATAAAGTAACAAACAAGCGAACAGCTCTCCTAATGAAAAGCCACTACTGCAATCTAAGGACAATTGCGGCCAACATCAAACAAAGAAGGCCCCAGATGCTTTGACACCTCTGAGGGTCTATACGGAATACTTCACAGCCTGTAATAATACTGCCTCCCTATACCCTTCGGATCGCAACACAGAAGTGCAAGCACTACTAGTTCGCGACAAGAATAGGAATAGAAGAGTGCGGTACCTTCCCAGACAGACTGATGCAGAATTGGAGTCTAACCAAGCAGGAAAGTTTGTTTATTTTATAATTTTTTTGCATAAATGGTATTATTAAATCTATAACGTAAACACCCACCATTGAATACATAATCAGCGGCCAATAACGCTAAACCCAAAGAAGCTGCTCCGACGACGAGGCGTGATCGATTGTTGGGTGGCAAAGTTAACCTTTCCACAGCATAACATTTAGCTGTTCGTCTAATTGGAACGAAGGCGACCCGAGGTGAACCTGCTATCAGACGTAGCCACCGCGATACGGAGTTTGACAATCTAGACATGCTGAATAACTAGTTCTGGTACTGGTACTCAAATTTCAGTCAAAAGCCTTCATAATATGATATATTTGAAACTCGATATTCATTATCAAAAATTTTATTAATGTGTATCTTTAAATACATGGCCCTGGTACATTGCACTATTTATTGCACAATTTTTATTATTTATGTTTTTGGTTTTTCCATTACATCATTACCCAATTGTTAAATGTCAATGTCAGTTAGCGATAAGTGTTGAATCAACGAATCAGTTCAATCAACCATTATCTCCTGTCAACGTATTAACGTTAACTGTTTATGAATCAATTAGTTGAATTCGTCAACAACGTTTATGAATTTAACTCGTGCGTTTCATTCAATAATCGAGAACGCAAATGTAACGAACGGAACAAATTAAAAATGTACGTTGAAAATAACGTCATAGATTGCGAGCGACGGTCACGTCATACAATTTGAACTCTAAGTAACGTACAAAATAGTTGATTTTGGAAATATTTATTTAAGAATAGTATTTATGACGATATTGGTGGAATGGCGCGCCCTTATCGTGCCGCCCGAGAGATTCAGGTTAATACTGGTTTGTTTGTTTGTTTACGTTACGAACTATATGAAGTACGCTTTCTTTAATTTTTGATTGAGAGTTTGCGTGGAAGGTCAGATGTTATTTTGTAGCTTATCGTAAATGTATAGAGTTTAGACTTTTTAGTTAATGTTTATAGTAACAGTGTTCATTTGTTTGTGTTAATAGAATTGTGTATATTTGCATAAAATATGATTACTTAAGATACAAAATTGAAAATGTCGGGACGTACTAGGGGTAACAGTAAATTGTGCCTGCATTTCGAAGAGTTAAAAAGAAAAACAATATGTACATATATATCGGCGCAAGAGGCCATCGGCGACGATACCTGACGCGATGACGTCAGATCACGTGACGCGCTCGCTCTCCCGACACACGACATTATAAAATAGGCATGCACTGTGTGCTGCGGGCAGTCACTCTCTAGCGCTGATCGCGTTAAAGTTGTGTCACGTAAACGTTGTGAGTGTTCTAGTGAAGTAAAACGTACTCAAATACTTAACAATAAATGTGGAGTGATTATGTTGTGAACGAACTAATTAAGGTGTGAGTGCTCCATGCCGGATGTGCTGTTCTCACAGCGCTCGGTTCGCGAAGCACTTCTCTCCCTGGACATCCAGAAGTCGAATGGGCCTGACGGAATCCCCCAAATTGAGCTGATGACGTGTGCTCCGGAGTTGGCACCGGTCCTAACGCGTCTTTTCCGGTACTCCTACTCCCAAGGCGTAGTCCCGAATTCATGGAAGACAGCTTTTGTCTACCCGATCCCTAAAAAAGGCGACCGCTCAGACCCGTCCAACTATAGGCCTATCGCGATCACCTCCTTGTTTTCCAAAATAATGGAATCCATTATTAACTGCCAGCTCATCCGGTACCTTGAGAATCACCAGCTGATTAATGACCGCCAATACGGTGCATATTCTGACTACAAGCCTATTAACGCTGGTGTTCCACAAGGCTGTGTGCTATCACCAACGCTGTTTCTTCTGCATATCAATGATATGTTGCTAACTGGTAACATTCATTGGTATGCGGATGACAGCACTGGTGATGCTCTATACACCGGCCGTGCCAATATTTCTCGGCAAGACGTCGCCGAGTACCGGAACAAACTTGTGTCTGAAGTCGAGTTTTTGCTGAACAAAGTCTCGGATTGGGGGCGACTAAATCTAGTCCAGTTTAATCCTCAGAAGACACGAGTTTGCGCGTTTACCGCTAAAAAGAACCCCTTTGTCGTATCTCCTCAGTTTCAAGGCACTCCCCTTCTTGCCTCAGCCATTATCGGTATCCTCGGCGTCGACATATCGAGTGACGTGCAGTTTCGTGGTCATTTGGAAGAGAAGGCCAAATTGGCCTCTAAAAAGCTTGACGTGCTCAGCAGAGCGGGACAGTATTTCATGCCGGCACACCGCCTGCAACTTTACAAGGCGCAGGTTCGGCCTCACATAGAATACTGTTCCCATCTCTGGGCAGGGGCTTCCCAGTGCCAGCTCCTTCCACTTGATCGCATCCAGCGCAGAGCGGCTCGAATCGTCGACGACCGGGTCCTTTCCGATCGGCTCGATTCATTGGCACTGCGAAGAGATGTTGCATCCCTTTGCATTTTCTTTCGCATCTACCATGGGGAGTGCTCTGAGGAATTGTTCGGATTAATCCAGCCGAACGCACATCGCGGCAGAACTCCCGATAACATCCACACCATCTAGATGATTGGCGGTCCACCACTGTTCGATTTAGAAGATGTTTTCTTCCTCGCACGACTTCCTTGTGGAATCGATTACCATCAGCGATTTTTTCGGACCGATATGACTTAGGGACCTTCAAGAAAAGAGCGTACTCCTTTTTAAAAGGCCGGCAACGCATCTGCAATTCCCTTCCTGGTGTTGCAGTTGTTCATGGGCGGCGGTAGTCACTTACCATCAGGTGAGCTTCATGATCGTTTGTACCCTCTCCTATAAAAAAAAAAATCAGTGATGAAATAATTGTGTGAATTGTGTTATTAAGCTGTAAGCAAATGATTCTGTAAACATTTTGTGAATGTGTAATTAAAATTGGTACAAATAAGCGTGTGATCTGTAATAAATTATCAGCATGTAAGGCAATAGTGGTTTTAACGACATCCAATTGTACCTCCTTCAACATATATATATATATATATATTGTTTAAAACTATAGAAAAAAATAATTGCTTTGTGTGCACAGAATTAGATGATCCTATAAATACGCCTGAATAGAATATGGTTTACAGCTAGTTGTATTCAGTCAGTCCTAAGCCTAAAGAAAAAGTATGAAGGGAAGGCCTTTTAAGTTGAACCATCAATTAAAGATTTTCAAACACATACATTGAATAAAATTGTTTTTAAAATTGAACCTCGCAGTTAAAATCATTCAATGAATAAACTGTCTACGTTGCAAGTTGACAGAAGTAGTACGTTAGCTCGTTGACAAATTTAACTAGTTGGTTAACTGGTTGACAAACGTAAATCAACGTTAACGGAAAAATCGTTAACGACCATCACTAACGTCAGTGTCAAATGATCCCTTTTCTATTTCATGGCATAGGGATCTTGACCCATACAGCCTACTTGAAAATTTTCCTAAAAATTTGACGACCTCTTGATCCAGAGGCCAGTTGGCAACCTATGCCCAAAAGTGGATATAATATTTTAAATTATTTGTCTACTGTTTAAAATATTGTTTTTTTGTAAGATAGTGTGACAATATATAAGGGATAGTTTAAAATATTTTAAACTGTCTGTATAATGTTAAAAATTTTGAGTAGACTATCTCTCTGTTTAAAATTTTTATATCGGGTTAAAGACATTTATTTCTCTTAAAGAACACATTGTTCACTTTTACAGGGATTAAGTATACATACAAAATAATATTACAAGTATTTACAGGGTAGCATGCATTATATTATTATATTATGTTTTATTCTTATATGTCTATCCTTAATTAATTTGTTACACTTTTTCTTACTTAATGCAAACATATGTATGTATTATATCGTAATGTTTAAAAATATGAATATTGTATTAATGCAATACTCATATGTTCAAAATTGAAGATATGTAGAATTATGAAATTTTATCTACAACATATGATTTTAGTTTATTCTTCAAATGCTTAATATTATTACAATCTTTTATAGTATCCGGTAGGTTATTATACAAAAGTACACCCTCACACATTATATTTTTATTGCCATAAGATCTCGTACGAGGCTGTCAGATTTGAAGTTTGTTTTTGTTTCCAAGGTTATGTGTAATACACTTTGGTTTGGTGTGAATGTATTTGTTGAATGTATGTTTTTAGATATTATTTTTTTAATAATAAGGCATGTGTTATATGTATATAATTGTTTAATGTTTAAAAATTTAGTTTTTCTGTATAGCTCCTTAGTTGGGGTTAGGTAGTTGTAATGAAATAGTGTTTTTATTAGTTCTTAGCAGAACCCCATATCTCTATAAGGTACTCCAGGTGTGGCTTGGCTAGGGTGTTATAAATAGTAGTTTTGATTTTGTATGAAATACAATTTGATACCTTTCGTAATGCTCCCGTAAGTGATGCTAATTTTGGTGTTATTTTGTCTATATGAGAGTCCCATATCAGTTTGTCATCTAATAATAGACATAGGTACTTTTCTTTTTCAAATCTTTTAAGAGTAATATTATTAATCTTAAGTGGTGAGTAGCTAGGTATTTTTTTTATTTTTAGCACAGAAAACCATAAATGATGTTTTGGTCACATTAATTGTGAGAAGATTGTATGAAAACCACTCATTCAATATATCCAAATCCTTTTGTGCTTGTGATATAATTTCATGAATTGAATGTGCAAAGTAAAAAAGACAAGTGTCATCTGCGTAGAGTAATAAATGACCTGACAGGTTTAAATTTACTATGTTGTTTATGTATGTAAGCAATAACAAAGGGCCTAATATTGAGCCTTGAATGCCACAGGTAATTTGTTGAGGACCACTTTTGTAGTTAGATATTTGTACAATCTGTTGGCGGTTAGCGAGATAAGAGGCCAACATATCTAGTACTGTACCTGTTATTCCTATATTATTTAGCTTTTGTAATAGTTTTGAGTAGCTTACCGTATCAAAAGCCTTTTTTAAGTCCATGAATATTCCTAAACAGACATGTTTTCGATCAATGTTTGTCTTTATTTTTGTAACTACGTCAATTGCTGCTGACAATGTGTTAGATTTTGATCTAAAACTATATTGTTGTTCAATGAAAAAGTTTTTGGCGTTAAAATACTCGTAAAAGTAATGTATAAAAGACTTACTTTTACATATTACTTTTTCAAAGACTAGAAATAACAGAGAGCACCGATATGGGTTTGTAATTACTAGGATCAGTTTTTGGTTCGGATTTATGGATTGGGCTGACTTTCGCAATTTTTAGGCTGT